GAATGGACTTGCCGTATCGATGCCAGAGACCGACTCTTGATCCGAGAAAATCCGACTTGATGTTCCCTGACTGCTGCTGTTTTGTTCGTCACTGATCAACGTGCGCAAATGTTTCCAGATGAACTGGAGATGCTGTCTGAGGCCCGAGCTCGACTGGCCAACACGCAGGGCAAGAAGGCCAAGAGGAAGGCCAGAGAGAAGCAGCTGGAGGAAGCCAGGTCACATTTTCTTCTTCTTGGCCGATCGAGCTGGTTCTCGGAGCTGTCGATATTCACCGCGGGGGTTCCGCCTTTCACCGTTTGCAGGCGTTTGGCGGCGCTGCAGAAGCGCCGAGAGCTCCGAGCGGCGGGCATCCATATCGGCAAGAAGAGGAAGAAGAAGCGAGGCGTGGACTACAACGCCGAGATCCCCTTTGAAAAGAAACCCGCCTCTGTAACTTGAATTCGTTTGAATGCTTTTCGGGGAATCTTGAAAATGTCCTTAAGCGGTCGTTGAAACTCGGGCGACTCAAACTGGGGGGGGCCTTCGCTGCGCCTCATTCCGCGCATCGACAGTAGCCCATGTTTGAGCGGCCATTTTGCCTGCTTTCAGGGCTTCTACGACACCAGCATGGAGCTTTACGACCCACTGGCGCCCAACTTCAAGCGTCTCCGGCAGCAGCACTTGGACGGCGAGCTGCGCAAGTGAGTCCTGCGTTAGCACTCGCGAGCACGAGTAAGAGCAAGTGCCCCGGTGTCACGCCCCATGTTTGTGGTTTCAGCGAGCGCGAGGACCGGGACCGCAAGAAGGACAAGCAGAAGATCAAGAAGAAGAAAGAGAGCGACCTGCCCTCCGCCATCCTGCAGACCAGCGGCGTTGCCGAGTTCACCAAGAAGCGCTCCAAACTGGTCCTGCCTGCACCGCAGGTAACGACGTGGCGCTAATGCGGCTGCCCGCCGTTTATACGACACGGACCGCTTTCATGTTGAGGAATATTTGGAGGGGTCGGGAGAGTTGGGGGGGGGGCAAACCTTGATGAAGGAAATCCTTGGCGGGCCGCGTCCCACGGTGCCCGCGCGCTGACGGTGTGGTGGTCTCGTCTGGCAGATCAGTGACGCCGAACTGGAGGAGGGGGTGAAGATGGGCGGGTGAAGATGGGCGTGGCCAGCGAGGTGGCCCGCCAGGCGGCCGAGGAGAGCGAGAGCGCCAACGGCGCCTCCTCGGCGCTGCTCTCCGAGTACAGCGTCACCAACAACATGAGCGGCGCGCTGCGCACGCCGCGCACGCCCGCCGCTCAGGACAGGATCATGCAGGTCAGCTCGCTTCAAGACAAAACTCCGCCTTCAGACCCTCGTTTGGGACTGCCTTGAAACCCTAATACTGTCTGGGAACCCTAATTGTAATTTGATACCCTACTTTGAAAACCTAAGTGCTGCTTGAAACCCCAACCCTGGCATCAAATTCTATTTTGAAAAGCGAGCCAAGGCTTGAGACGAGGCTCAAAACGCCAGTTTGCATCCTTAACCCCCCATTACAAAAACAAAAAACATGCTTGAAACCCCAATTTGAAATTTGAATACTTGTTAGAAACCAGAAGATGATTCTTTGAAATATTAAAACCTAAAATCACCTTCGAGGGCATCTGTCAAGATTTTGGTTTATATTTTCACCCCCCCAGGAAGCTCAGAATCTGATGGCGCTGACCAACATCGACACCCCGCTGAAGGGCGGCCTGAACACGCCGCTGCACGAGAGCGACTTCAGCGGCGTGACGCCCCAGCGGCAGCAGGTGCAGACCCCCAACACCGTGCTCAGCACCCCCTTCAGGTAACCGGCGGAAAACGCGCCTCTGCCCCGTCGAATGTGGACGCGCCGCAAAATAAATTTGGGCGCATTTTCCGTCGCAGAACTCCTGGCCAGGGCCAAGGGTCGGAGGGCATGACCCCGCAAGCGGGCGAGGCCATGACGCCACGCGGGTCGGCGACGCCCGGTCTGACACCCGCGCGCACGCCGCTGAGGGACAAACTGAACATCAACAGCGAGGAGCAGCTGGCTGACCCGTCCTACGCAAAACATCTGGTTTGTTTTCTGCATTCTTTTCAATGGAAAAGTCATTTCTTCATTGAAAAGGTCCATTTTTAAAAATGTTGCCAGTCAAGTTGGTTTTAAAAAATTATTCATGTATATTAATTATTTTGAGCCTTTTTTTGTTTAGTCAGTACAAAGGATATTTTTTTGAAAATAAGATTTTATTAAGTAGTCTTTTTTTTTTTAAAGATGACACCTTAAGATCTGATTTTTGAGGGGGAAAAAGTCATTTGTTTCCTATATATTTTTTTACAAGTCACTTTGTTTCGTTTAAAAAGTCAGACAATTAAATTTTTTTTTTCAATCAAAAATCCCTCATGAATAAAGTGAAAATAAACTCCAAAGTTTGTCAAGAAAAGTAATCTTTTAGAAGGAAAAAGTTGCGGCTTCGGCAACCGACTGAACGTCCACGTGACTTTGTGCGTTCCTGGGCAGCACCGCGAAAGTCTGCAGCAACTGAGGCAGGGCCTGATGTCACTTCCTGTGCCCAAAAACGACTTTGAGATCGTCCTGCCTGAAAATGCAGAGAAAGAACTGGAAGAGACCGAGATGGAGGTCGGCTACGTGGAGGACGCCGCCGACGTCGAGGCCCGCAAACAGGTTCACCGTGCACACACTTTTACGCAACTTGACATTTTGAATGCATCGAAAGTCACATCGTAGACAAAAGTGTTGCCGCTGAGTTGATGGTGCTCGCCGCACCAATATTGACACATGCGTCTCTGCGCTCGTCAGGCCCAACGCGATGCGGAGAGGGAGAAGGAGCTCAAGCTGCGACACGCCGCCGTACAGCGGCACCTGCCCAGACCCGTCGAGGTAGCGCGCGCCCTTCACGCACACGCACCACACGAACATCATCCGAGTGAGCCCGTCGATGTGTGATCAGGTGAACGAGTCGGTGCTGCGGCCGGCCTCCATGGAGCTGAATGACCTGCAGGTGGCCGAGGAGCTGATCAAACAGGAGATGATCACCATGATGCACTACGACTGTCTTCACCACCCCTCGGCCGGCGGGCAGCTGCAGCGCGCCAAGGCCCGAGGACCCGCATCCGCATCCAACAACGCCCTGCACATCGCCTACCTGGACGCGCACGCCTACAACACCGTCAGCACCGAGGACATGGACAAGGTGTCGCGCCTCGTACTCGCGCCGTGACCGCGTGGCATCCGCTCAATTAAGTCCGCCGATGAAAAAGAGAAACTGGGTTGGGTCGGTCAAGCCTGAGGTCTACAACATGTTCTGTTTTCCGTTACAAGAGCGTCAAAACGTTTAAAAGAAAGGAAAAAAAAAGTAAGTTTTATATAAATGAAAAGTTCACAAGCATAGCGAAACAAAACAATGGAGGGAAGAAACAAAAAGTCAAACTCGTGTTCATGTGCGTGTTTTGACTCATCAGGCCAAAGCGATCCTGGCGGCCGAGATGGAGGTCGTGAAGGCGGGCATGGGCCACGGAGACCTCAGCATGGAGGCCTACTGCCAAGTCTGGGAGGAATGCTACGGCCAGGTCCCTTTTGCGCCTTCCTATTTATATTCGCCGGGAGATGAGCGGCAGCGGTTTTTCATAACACCCCGTGCGGTTGCGCTGCAGGTCCTGTACCTGCCAGGACAGAACAGGTACACCCGAGCCAACTTGGCGACCAAGAAGGAAAGGCTTGAGAGTGTGGAAAAGAAACTCGAAGTAAGTCAGTTAGGTTGTTCTTTTTTTTTTTAAGTAGTCTATTTACTTCTTAGACAAAGTAGTTTTGAGGGTAAGTGTTCAGTGATTTTTCAAGAAATATGCGTTTGGACAACAGTCTTACTTTTGGCAGGAAAGCTGGAGGAAATTATTTTTATTTATTTATTTTTTTTATGATGACTTCCGAATGTACCGGTATGTGCTGATGGCGTTGTGTATTGCGTGCCGCGCAGGTGAACCGCAGTCACATGACAGCGGAAGCGCGCAAGGCGGCCAAACTGGAGAAGAAGCTCAAGATCCTCCTGGGGGGCTTCCAGTCCCGTGCGCTCGGCCTCCTCAAGCAGCACAACGAACTCTGGGAGCAGGTCGGCATCGGACTTCTCAACACCCCCCCAACCGCCAGTACCCACTGCCCATTTTAGTGATTAGAAAGGAGATCCATAATTGTATTCACAATCATTAAAACTGAAAATGATCCTTTCTGTTTAAGAAAAAAATCCTCGCCAAATTAATCATCAAGCTATGAATCCCCAGAGGTTTTCTTGTCACCTTAAAACTTTCAACCGCTCATCTGCTAATTGACAGAAAGTGCAATTAGCCCATTGTCCTCGCAGGCTCAATTAAGATCATCACTTCGGGGAGTGTCACTAATATATTTTGAACAAACGCGTTATGCTTATTATGTGCACTAGGTGGAGCAAGCGGCCACGGAGCTGGAGACCTTCAGTCAGCTGAAGAAACAAGAAGACACCGCCATTCCCAGAAGGCTGGAGGTCTCTCTCTCTCTCTCACATACACACACACACACACACACACACACACACACACACACGCAGTTTGAAAAATAAAACGAGACCTTTATTCGTATTTCTGTGTGCGCGCGTGTGTGTGTAGGCGCTGCGTGAGGACATGGAACGTCAGATGGATCGAGAGCGGGAACTCCAGCAGCGCTACGGCGAACTTGTGACAGAGCGAGACGCCCTGGTCAACAGCGCTCAAAAGTTCTGAGCAACAGTGAACGCATCCTTTTTATAGTGTCTGAGATTAAATCCATTAAAGTGAGTCGATGTATTCCATGCACTTTTCATGTCCTACGTTTGTTTTTGCACCCCATGCGGTTTATTTCCGCAACGCCGGATTGTGGATGCTAAGCGATGTTTACGACACTTACAAAACTGAGCAGAAGAAAAAAGTCCGTTTTCCACGGGGGGGGGGTCAACAGGCCAGGTAAGCCATCCTGTTCCTCCTGTAGGCACTCTGAGAGAAACACAATTCATCCGTTTTCCACGGGGGGGTCAACAGGCCAGGTAAGCCATCCCGTTCCTCCTGTAGGCACTCTGAGAGAAACACAATTCTTTCAACACGTGCGGACACGGAAATCCATTTGGATGCCAAAGTGCGCGTGTCCACGTACGGTGTGTCGGTAGTTGTATCTTCGGATGGCCTCTCGGATGTGACAAAGCTGGATGGCGCCGCTGGGAGGTTCCGCCGCAGCAGGACAGCTCTGAAACAACACGTTTCGAGTGCATTCAGACAATTACCGATTTCTTCGGAGACTCAAGCCAGAGTTTTTGGGGGCGGGGGGGCTGTAAAATTGTGGAAAAGTGCGCAAGTGATCTTCAACGCTAATTTTGAGTATACTGTAAATACAAATTTGCTTGAAAATAACATGTTTCTGGAAAAATCCAAATTCTTCTCGGAGCAGAACTTTTTATGCATTTCTCTTGGTTGTGGCCAAGGATGGAGATCACGTTGTGACCTTTTTACGTTTCCTCTGCCGCGCTCGCCCCTCCAGGCTTCCGTTGCCTTGGAGGAGGGGCTTGGAAGAGTGGGAGGACCCAGGAGTGGAGGGAGGCGTGGCTTCAGGCGACTCCGATTCTTTCTTGACCTGCCAGACAACACGTCAAGTTCACCTCAGGAAAACAAACAAAAAGAAATCAAAGACGAAAAACGACTCATATTTAGGTGGGGGGTGGGGGGCGTTAAGGTATGAATGATAGATGGATGATGCGGTTACCTGGGCGACAGTTTCATAGGCCAGGTAGGACAGTATCTCCATGGCGACGCCGTTGGGTTTGAGGTCCAGACTGCTGCAATCCAGCCAGTCGCGGAACTTGGATGCTTTCTTGGCTGCACGCGCACACACGCACAAATACATGTCAAATGAAAGATGTGTGAAATAATCCAAATTATTCACGTGGGATAAAAGGAAGTCTTACGATCACAGGGGAAAAAAACCTGAATGTCAACACATAATGGTTTGAGGTTTTTTTGAGAAAGACATTTTGGTTTTTTATAGAAAAGAATAAATAGGACGAGAACGATGTGCAATATTCATGTAGTCTATTACTAAATATATTTATTATTTCTTGATAGTCATTTTTTCATTACGGTTTAAAAAAAAATCTGTGTACATGTTTTTTCTCTATTATTGAAAAAGGTAATACTCTGCATTTCTGCATCAATGGATATCAAGTTGTATATGACGGCTTGATATTGTCCTGAAACGTGTCTGAATGCAAAGACAGTTACCAAAGCTGAGCTGTCGACTCTCACAGAATTCGGCGTACTGCGTCTGGTCCATGGCTCTGCTGTGACGCTCCAGACGCTGCAATCCCATAATAATCACAATCAGAACCCTCATCCGAAACCACGGGGGTGAAGGGCTTGTCTCCGCAGCGACCACCTCCAGCCTCTCTTGCTTGACGGGGTCCATCTCCTGCCGCTCGGCCAGGGACAGGAGCTCGCCCGTGTGGTCCAACCACAGCAGGTAATCCTGAGCCAGACGCTGGCGACGTTGGTTGCCCCCGGCTACCGTGCCTGACGACCCCGCGCCTGCGCCCGCCATTCCTTGCTATGATCGATCGGGGTTTATGATTTGGTGGGAAAAAAAAGAAAGACACCCACCTTGCTCCGGCTGCCCGTCATCATCGTCCAGGCCCTTGAGAAGCTTTGACTTGTAGTCACGGAATTGGAGATACTTCAACAGCCTTGACACCTTTCTCTGCGCAAAGTATGATTGGTATTAAGTACTGTATCTCAAGAGTGTACTCACTTTCTTTTTGAGAATTTGCAAAAAGATAGAATGTAGAAAAGAAAAATTGACTCTCGCTTTTTGGTCTCGTTTTTGATCAACAAAATTTTTTTTCAAGGAAAAAAAACTAAATCAAATTTTCCAGTCATATTTACCAAGTCTTGCATTTTAAAATGTGTGGAAAAAACATTTTGAAAAAAGTTGTCTTTTGTGAAATCAAGCAAAAAAAGTCCTATTTCCCAAAGAAAAGTGTGTGTTGACCTTGTCTCTGCGCATCAGGAAGAGGATGTCCTCCACCGCGATGACCCTTGAACCCCGGAGGGTGGCGCCCTCGCTGGCCTGATGGAGCTGATCAGCAAGTTGTACTTTTAAGTCATGTGGAAATTCTCAAGCAATTCGTATCAGAAATATATTTTGCCATGTACAAATGTTCCATTTGAAAATTCCCAAATCCAAAGGGCAGCCTTTTCTGGCAGTACCGCTCTCTTCCTATAGGGGCAAGAGTGAGTCAGGATGGCTGAATGCTTGATTTTTCAGTTGGACTGTCTTTTGATGACTTTTTTTCTAACCCTAGCCTTTTTCCTTCGCAAGAAAACTTTTAGAAACTTCTGCGAAAAAAATGCAAAACAAATGAAGACGTTTCCACGACACACGGTCATTGTCAACTTGTGTGAAACAGTGCGTTACCATGGTGATAAGCTGCGTATGCACAATGTCCTCCACCAGGGCTGCTGTCTCGTGCAACGGCCTGCGAGCGTCTCCCAGGGCAAACCTAGCACACGCACACACACACACACACACACACACACACACACACACACACACACGCCCACACACACGCACACACACACACACACACACATTTGGGCAAACCTCACATTTGCATGTAGAGAAAGTAGTTCCTGGACAACCCCGAAAATTGAAAACCACATCCCCGACATCCATTCTCATCTTTCCCTGGCCCGCCTCCTCTGTGCCATGACTGGCCATCGGCAGCTGTCACTCACACAGCCAAGAGGGGTTTAGTTTTGAGGTTGGGGGCTGGACGCTGAGGCTTGGGGTTCGGTTTTGGGGTTGACGTGGTTGCAGGCGTCTCTGACCGCCAACAACACACCAGGTGAGTAACACACGCAAACATTCATACACACACTAGCTGAGTGCATCAGTTTGTGGCGTGTGTTCTGAAACACGACATAAAAAAAGGCTTCAGGATGTTTTTTTGTTTTTTTTAAACGACCTTCTGCAAAGACTCAATGTGTTGACGTATATTCCATCTTCACCTCCGTGTCACGACTACGAGAAGCAAATTCGTCCTATTGTCTCTTTCTCAATATTTTGTATTCTAAAGCCAAATCCATACTGGGTGTCTAGTACATTACAACTTTCATTAAAAATATCGTAACATTTTAAAAACATTTTGATATAACTTGTCCTTTTGCTTTTCTTCTTTTAATCACAGCAGTTTTTAAAATCATTTTATTTAACGACTATGAAGTGGGGCCAATTGACCCGTTTTAACACTTTAAAAAAAAAAAGAAGAAAAAATTTTAAAATGGAAAATTATTTTTTGTTCCTGTAACCTTTAAAATGTTTATTTTTTGGGAACTACTATCTTCATGATTTTTTTATTTTATTTATAACAATCCTCTTAAATGTATGCTAGTTTCATCTTGAGGATAAAAATGAAGTAGTCATTTTGCTGTTCACTTCAAGTAAAAAGGTGGCAGAGAGGAGTCAAGACATATTTAATGTTCTGTAACGTGCCAAATGCACATTATACATAAGGCAATGCATACCGTGCACTGCATACATTGGCTTTGATTGTCTATACTTTGGCTGTAGTTTAGATGCACAACCCTGATTCCCAAGTGCAGTTTTCCCATTCCATGTGGGCTTTTTTTGGGGCATGGGGGCCATGACGCATATCACATTTGACAGCAAAAAACAGTGAAAATTCATCAGGGGATGTATTTCGCGTGTATTGTGGAGTGTAACCATGTGCCCGTGTGTAATGTCTTCATAAACAGGCTGACATGGCTTCAAACAGTCTCTTCGGTGCCGGCAGCCACACACTCGACACAAGTGAGTGTGTGTGTGTGTGTGTGTGTGTGTGTGTGTGTGCGTGTGTGTGTGTGTGTGTGTGTGTGTGTGTGTGTGTGTGTGTGTGTGTGTGTGTGTAGTGAGTCATACATCATGCCCTGTATCTCAGGTATGAAACTGGTCCTGGATGCCGCAGGGCGTTCTCGGGAGCCGGCCATGGCGGAAACAGCCATGTGACCTCTCTGGACCAATCACAAACTCTGTCACTAGACAAAGACGTCAACACACATTTTAGTCCATAATATCAACATGTTTTCATCAACTTCACAGCTTTAAAACACGTAGCGTATTGTAATTATCAACATTATTTTATTAGATTCACAACAGACTTGAAATCACTTGTGGGTTTGAGTTTGTTTACACAAATCGACAGATCACACTTCGTCAAACGCTAAAAACAACACAACACAACACAACCGTATTGAAGCAACACACAAACGGGCACGCACAAGTTGCACACGTACATACATGCACAAACCGGCGCGCGCGCGCACACAACGGCAGGTGTTTTAACCGCACTGCTTCCCCTGCGGTAATAAAATCTGAATAATAAAAAAGGACTCAGTTCCTCTGTATTCAAACAGTGCGGTCAAAGAGCCATCAATGCTCCGCAAATGCAAAAAAAAAAAAAAAAAGACAGAGGACAAAGACATGACAGAAGAGGGATACAATAATAAAAGAACTCACCAAAAGTTGTCCAGCACTGCGTCGCTGTCGTTTGTTTGAAATCCCGGCGCACTTCGATGACGTAGATCCGGAGGTAAACTATATTAAACTGAATTCTATGTATTTTTTTTAAACAATGAACATAGATATAGATCATATTTTGCTTTTTTAAATCGACAAATCTTGCATTATTTTGTAAATATCTGATTTGTGTTTTTTTTTTAAAGTCTTACGCGAAACAAGTCATTTTGGGGGGTGGGGAGTGTTTTTTTGTTAAAGTCGTGCCTTTTTAAAGCATTATCTTATTCAATTGAAAATAAGCGATACTGAAGACATGTTAAGAAAATGTTGAATCTTATAAATGGGCATTGTTTTGTTAGTATTTGTAAAAATGTCAAAGCAAAGACACAAACCATACCATTTAGACATATGTACAGTCATATTATAACAATAAAAGTTCTACATTTTGTGTGGCTGTCAATCAGATGCCGTGACGAAGCATCGACCCGCTCCCTCGCCATCCAACCTCGACGTGGACGAAGCCGAAACGCGCTACCTCCACGAGCGCGGCGCAGCGCCCCCGAGAGGCCTGGTGGCCACCGACAGCCCCAATTTCCTGTGCAGCAGCCTGCCGCATCACTGGAGGTGCAACAAGACCTTGCCTCGACCTTTCGCTGTGAGCACTCACCTTCATTTTAATGGCACTTAGGAAGAAAAATACACATACTTGTGCTTGTGCATCTGGAGTGCCAGCCCATTCATCAAGAGTGAAATTCAACAACCAACTGATTCTTGATCCATCCATCCATTATCCGAGCGGCTTCTCCTCACAAGTGTCGCGGCGGGTGCTGGAACCTATCCCACCTGTCATCGGGCAGTAGGCAGGGTGCACCCTCAACTGGTTGCCAGCCAATCCCAGCCAACTGATTCCGTCTGTCCTTAACTGATTATTTCTGAAAATGCAAGTGAGCCCTTCGGCATTCACGCCCAAATGGGATGTAACAGAGGCCTTATTTACATCATAACCACCCCCCGTACGGTATCACAAGAATCACTGTTTTTGAAGTGATCAAAAGGAAGGCCGAACTAGTCGCCTTGAAAGGCACATGACATTTTCCTCCATCGTGCAGGTAGTTTGCCTGGGCAACGACGTGGCAGACGGCGTTCTGGTCACGCTGATGGCGGGAAACGATGACAACAGCAGCGCCGAGTTACGCAACGCCACCGCCACAGTGAGGCAGGGACACGCCCACTTCAACGACCTGCGCTTCATTGGCCGCAGCGGCAGAGGTAGAAGGAAAATGAAAGGATTATGTCGTAAAAGTCGAAAATTTGCCACTTAGCTTGTGAGATTTATCTGCTCAATGGTGTCAATCAATTGACTAAAACTGCTAAGTTAAAATGAAGTGGTGTACATTTAAAAAAAAACATGGTTGCCTTTGGAATATGTTTTCTTCATGTGATCGCTTGAAGACTCCATAGATAGGCTAAAAAATAAAAACAAACAGTGAAGCAGCACCTACAGACAAACAATATAACAATACTCACAGATATATATTCTTTATCCTCTGTGATAGTATAGTAAACAAATTACATGTGAAATTGCTTATTTTGGTTCAATTTTCAATTGTGTTTTTTAACAATAAATCAACTGGATAATTAGTTCAAAGATGAAAGAGAAAAGTAATTTTAAAAAAGAATAATACATCTGAATGAATGAAATTAAGATCAATTCACTCTGAAAGAATTCCACAAATATTGCACGACAACACATTAATAATCCATGAATTGATGTTGTCGGCTTTTTTTTTTTCTCCCTAGGTAAGAGCTTCACCCTGTTCATCAACGTGCTGACCACGCCCCCTCAGGTGGCCACGCTGCACAGGGCCATCAAGGTGACGGTGGATGGCCCGCGCATGCCCAGGCGTCAGTACATACCGCCCCCTCCGCCTCCACCAACCACCCACACAAAAATAAAACATGAAGAATGATGGTCTATTCTTTTTTTTTTCTTAATTGCTGAGTGATATTGAGGCCGTTGGTTTTTATGTCCCCTTCAGGCCAGCGTCAAAAAGAAGCGGAGTCAGCACTTTTCAGGTCGTCCAGCTGCGGTGTGATCACTTCAGGTAAAAAGCAAACTTTTTAAAAAGTAGTCCTTGTGGTTTGAATTTGGGTCTTTGGAACAATGTGTAACGTGGTGGTGTGAGGAGGAAACCAGCCCTGGACATGTACCTCACTTCCTGTATCTACCAATGCCGTCATATGTTTTTATTATTCTATAGCCTTGATCGTCCACACGGAGTGACCATGCTTGAAATGTTCTAGTCTGCAGATTGGGTTGAGTACGTGTTTTGGGTAACCACAGTCCTCCTCTCCAGATTGCAGATCCTCCTCCTCCCTGTGGTCCAGCGAGCCGTCCCTGTTGGGCCAGATGGCCGCCCTGACGTCTTCCTTCCCTGCGCCTCCCCGAATGCACCCGCATCACCACCAGCACCATCGCCAGCGCCATGCCACCCTGTCCTACGCCGCCCAGCCCGCCGCCTACGCCTCCTACCTCAGCTCGGCGCCCGCCCCTCCGCTCAGCCACGGCGGCCCCTTCTTCTACGCGCCCAACCAAGCCATCGAGAGCGTGGGGGACGACGGCGGCGTGGCGGCGGCGTTGAGCGCTTATATCGAAGGGGCGTGTTTTACCCTCAGGGGGGAGGAGCCTGTGTGGAGACCTTATTGAGATGTGCTTGCCAAATTAGCCAATTCGAAATGTTGTTCCGACAGTCCAGACCTGAAAGGTTCCACCAAACATGTCCAGTTCTAGGGTAGTAGTACAAATGGTCATCATAATTAAATGACATAAACGACAAGAGAGTATCTGTATAAACTGAACTTGCATGTGAATGCTGAAGAGAGTTCCTCCTGGAATGGAACAATAAAGCGAGAGTCAACATGTTTATTGGACGTCTGATGAGTGAACCCGACTATAAGACCTGAACCCTAGTTTGGAACCCTACTTTGAAAACCCAACTCTAGTTTAAAAGTTTGACAATGGCTTGAAGGGGGTGGGTTGTCAATAGTATATTCAGGACAGTATAAGACTTTGACTGAGAATCATTAAAAACAATTGAAAAAAAATAAATACAATTGACTGGAAGTGAAAAGCTATGTGATTTTTTTTCACTTATCCAATATATCAGGTGTGCCCAATACGTCGATAGCGATCGACCGGCAGCTTGCGGACTGATCCCAAGTCAAAACATTTGTGTGTCCGTGTGCGTTATTAATATGATATATTCTTGTGTTGGTGCACACTGCACCCTTAGCAACCTATCAGTCTCACTTCCACAAAAAGTATTTAAAAAATAAAAGTAAAAAAGCAGGTCCAGTAACCTTTAACCTGTGTGTGTGCGTCTGTGTGTGTGCGTGTGCGCGCTTGTCAGCCGGGTGTCAGGGGAGGTGCGGCTGTCCAGATAAGCCCACGCCTCGGTTGGTGTGCATTGTGACACTGATGGAGCGCCTCCTAAAAATAAAAATCGAGTAAGGTGAGGTGAGCCAAATTTGCATGTGAGTGTTCTTCTAGGGGAAAGTTATGCTACAGTGACATGATAGCAGAGGTGTGAAATATGCACGCGCACGCAAACACTCACACACACACACACACACACACACACACACACACACACACACACACACACACCTCACATATACAGGAATAGTCAAGTTGAATCTGTCAAAGTAGGTTGCAAGAACAATGAGTGTACGTAAATTTGTTTGCTTGTGAAAACGTCACTTTTGAATTTATTCTAGAACTCAAATCAACTCATCTTTATTGAGTATAACACATTTTAAAAACAGTCAGAGCTGGGGCAAAGTGCTGTCCAGCAGAGATGGGCATTCCGTCCCTGGAGGGAGGGCGGAGGACGACAAGTCTTTTTTTTTTTTGAAAGGACGGACTCCGCAAGGACGGAAGAAGGTTTTTCTCTGTCCCTTTAATCGTCCCTAATGGGGTTAAGCATGTGCTGCAGGGAGGCAAAATAACACGGCCAGAGTGTAGCCGAACACCGTCTTTTCTGAACAAGCAATTTCACGGCTTCGTCTCAACTGTAGCCAAACACCAAATGTAATATTATTATTGTTATTATTATTATTTTCTGAACAAGCAATTTCACGGCTTCGTCTCAACAGTGTTTTTTTTTTAGCAACACTGCCACCGAGTGTGCGGTCAAGAGAACATAACAAAGTACCTCTGGACGTCCATTTCACTAACGCTGAACCCTTGCGGTTAAGAAGAGGTTGACGTGAGCACGAAGTAAAGATGTCAAGGTAAAAGTTGGTGGCCATCGACTGCAGGTGTGCCACGTTAGGCTACATTGAGATGACTCCGTTACGGGTTCACTGTACGGCAAGTGAGAAAGAACAGATCTCGTTCGTGTCGGAAACCAACGAGGCGTTTGAACCGTTGAATACAACATTCCGTGGGAGCCATAACCTCTTTCATCATCTATAATCAATATGACTACTCTTTTGCTTTTTATTTTCAAATTCTGTAGCAGACAATTGTTGAACTGGGTCGGAGCAATAAGTCAGCCCATCCGCCATATTGCATGTGGCTTTAATAATCGAAATAAATTTGGCAAATATTGTAAAATTGAGTGTGGATAGCATCATCCAATCAAAAGCGATCATTCCGAGGCGTGTTTTCATCCGTTCAAGACAAAATGAAAGCTTTTTTTTTTTTTTTTACTGAGAAAGCGTCATTTTAAATCGAACTGTCATCAGCATCAAATTGAACGGAAAAATAACATCTTCTCAGGATAGAACAGCAAAAACAGTGGCACGAACAGTGAACCATTCGGAAATATGAATTTCATCCATTTTGGAACAAGCCTCATGTGATGTGTTTATTTATTTAGTTATTTATTTATTTTTACATTTTAATCAATGGAAAAAAAAACCCATCTCAACAAACCATTGTGGGCTGTTGTGTGTCGAATTTTGAGGGGAAAGGAGTCGCATCCGATTCGAGATAAGGCAAAATGTGGAAAAAAAAAATGGAAGCACTGTGACTGTTTCTGGATACACCAAATGGGATTTGCTGTGTTTTTCTTCAATTGCCTTCTGTTCTAAATTTGGAAAAAGCTTTTTTTGTTTTTTAGGTCGTGTTGGCACGATGAGTTGAAGAAAATGTGAATGAATTCTGTACCTTTTGCAATTAGGCTATCGCCTAGTCTCCATGTTATTTCTGTGTGTGTTGTTATTAATACATTTGCAACAAATTTGTCTTGGCACACTGTCGAGTGTTTGAAAAAAATGTCATTCCATTTTGGGTAGTAAGATGGCAAAACGTGGAAAAAGCAAAGCACTGAAAGTTTTCCAGATGCGGCATATGTGCCAAAATGTCAGCAGAGTTACCACAGCGAGGTTCGCCCGTACCTTATCTGCTGATCTTCAGACTTCTTGTAATTTTGAAGAACTTTTCTGTGATGGAGCGCAGCGTTCAAACACACGTCGCAAATGAAAAGACAATGGCGCCTCTGTCACTGGGCAAAAGCACTCGCAGCCATGTTCCCAAAGTGACTTTCAGAGTCACATGGCGTAACCGCCGCGTTAATCGATTCAACACAAGCATGCACATACGGCCTGCAGGAACGCGGCGGCCTTGCAGTGCCGTCACAAGTTCTGTGCAGGATTCCTAAAAAAATTCCACCGCGCTGGTTGGGAGATATTGGGAATCTTCCTTTGGTGCGACCTGCTGTGAGCGTTCTGGCCAACGAATCACTAAGGAGGGAGCGGTGCCTCTCCGAAAGGACAGGTTCCGCTCTAATGTAATTGAGGAGCACAAGTCTTCTCAAGTGAGCCACCTTGTCCTGCGGAGTCGGGGGTGGATGAGAAAAAGTCATTTTTACACGCTCACAAAGTCACCTAACAATCTAAAAGAAGAGTCGAACCATGACCGAGATGTTTTTTCAAAGATAGCACACAACGTCCTTTTGAAGCATCTATATAGGCTGACCATTCAATTTTCATCTCGAAAACACCTTCCTGAGTCCCTAATTTCCAACCCTAACATTAGCTTCGGACCCTCAGTGGAAACCCTAACTTTTGGCTGAAATGAGGGATGCTATAGCAGCAGAAGCGTTCACTCATTGAGTAGTCTCCGACACCGATGACCGTTATTGACAACCGATACCGACGAATTGTGCCTTTAGTACTTTTGATATATAACATTTAAAACATGGAAATGACAAAAAAATTGTGAACAAAGACGTTTATTTTCGATGCAGATGATGTGTCAAAACTGCCACAGTATAGCGCCATCTACTGCCGAGGAGGACTTACTCAATTTTTTTTTGCCTCAAGTATCGGTGGCTGGTCTCGAAAGCCCCCACAACAACCTGATATCTTAAATTAATGCTGGTATCAGCCCGATATGATGCCTGATATCAGTACTCGTCCAACCCAAGTTAAAACCATAACTTGAAACGCGAAACCTGGTTCGAAACTCTGACCCAGCCTAGGAACCCTGATTCAAACACAAAATCTTGGCTTCAAACACCAATTTGAGATCCTGATCCTGGCTTGAAAGCCTAACTTTGACTTGAAAACTTGATTCGACTATCCTTGACTTCATATCCCTAATTTGCAATCCCGAATTTGAAATCTGTTTTTGAAACCTTGACTTCAAACTGCACCCTTGTCTTCAAACATTATCCCTTGAGTCCAAACCCGAGCTTAAAAAAAAAAAAAAAAAAAAAACCTTGGCTTGAAGCCCTAATTTTAATGTGAGATCCCGTCTCCAAACCTACACTTGAGCACCTACCCTCATCTTCAAGCCTTCATCTGAAATCCGGAGGCTAACCTGAAAGGGGACGTCAAAAATGTTGCTGACCACAATATGTTCTATGCCCCGCCACAAGTCGAAACGCGCTGTGCGGATGAATGTTGCGTCTGTGGAGTACGAATGAGGCAGCAAAAGCCACTCTTCTTCTTCCATCTCAGGGGGCGGCCATTTTGCCATTCGTCGTCGACCGAAGATGACCTCATGTTGGGAACGACGCGTGACCAAACCCTGGAAAACAGTTGCGCCGTGATAGTTCTGACCCCAACCCACGTTCTTAGGCACGGTCACGTCATTTTCAGTGGACAGGCAGCAGGTGGCGCTACAAGGCCAAATGGTGGCCCCCTGAGATGGATGCTGTTGACTGCCATTCAAAAGCAACCCGGTTCTTGTTCGACCCGAAGCTTTTCCCTCGCAAATCAATTCCCTTGACGTTAGCGCAATAGTTTGTAGATGGACAATCGAAATGACCTTCAGGTAGCGTTCCTTGCCAACTTCCCAATTACTCACTCACACACACACACACACACACACACAACGCCCAGAGTTAGGGGAACTACTGGCCAGATAAGAAAAGAGTGACAAGGGGGGAATGCTGGGCCTAAACTCAAAGCCATTGTGTCCTCGTACAATATACGACTTCCTCTCCATGCCAGATGCCACACACTCACAAGCACACACACAAAGATGTAAGGCAACTCAACTTAAAAAAATATATATATCTATATATCTATATATATCGATATATAGATATATATATAGATAGATAGATAGATAGCATTCAGACACACACACACACACACACACACACACACACTCACGTATACAAACATACAAACTCTCACACACAATTACACACAGATTCAGACACACCCACAGTTTCTCTTTCTCTCTCACACACACATTCACACACACACACATTCACGCACACGCGCACACACACGCACACACACGCGCGCGCACACACACCCACACACACAGTAGAGTCGTACAAATGTATACAGGCAAACACACACAAACCAACGCATCCACATACAGTACATGGGATTCCTTTGTGGACGCAGCCCAGGGCAAGTGAAGGAGGGAAAGACCCAGCCAGGGTGAGCGAGCGAGA